TTCAGCCAACAGTTCCTAAATAAAAATAAATATATTAAATATTATTACATGAATATCAAAACTTCAGGTATGTTTCTTTAGTATTTTTTGTGTTAGATAGAATTGTAAAATACATTGGTCGAATTATCGACCACGCGTTATTTCTAATTATTATTAATGGTTATTTAATTTTTCTTTTTAGTGAGACATAGGTTTGAGTCAAGAAATTTGATTCAATTAGTTCCAGAAGAAAGCGTAATGGATACTGATACATTAGAACAAACTACTAACTAATTTTCAATTTTGATGATAATGACACCTTTGAATATTGATTAAGTAATTAAGTGTACTAGACATTAATACAGTACATGATATTGTGAGAAACGATTTAATTAAAAAGTTTGTTTTTGATTTGTTTGTTTGATTAATGATTGTAGAATTGTATATGTCTTTTATTTTGCTTTATAAAGAACTTTAGGTTTAGAAAACGATATTTTTCAGCTATGGATGGTTATCATAGAAATCAAGGAAAACGTGCAGGTGAGTGTTAAACAGTAGTTTCTTAAAATGAAAATAAACAAGAAAATAGATTCATTGATACTTTGATATAAAAAAAAGATTTAATAAAGACAAAATGGAGAGAGAAAGATCGTAATTTTACAATTTTACAAAATTTGTTGAAGGGAAGTACTATAACTAGTATCGACAATTTATTGTTATTCTTGTAATTATATTTTTAAGGTAAAATTGAAAAATCGTGGTTAACAGTTTTTCTTGAAAAATTGAAGCATTATGGCGCAGATACAAGTCTGCACGGATTTCATCATATTATAGACGAAGGATCCTCTTATCTAAAAAGGATATGCTTTTCATTTATTTGTGGTTTATCAATAATATTTTGCGTGTACCTTATTTGGTTACAATTGCAAAGATATGAAAATAATATTGTAACCACTAGTTTAACGTCTACTGCGCATCCTGTCTGGGAAGTACCGTTTCCAAGTGTTATTATTTGCAACAATAATTTGGTTTACAAAAGCAATGTCGAAAAAATAGTGAAATCATTGTGAGTCTTTATTTTTTCAAAATTTCCAATACAACTTACATAAATTAATTAGATAATTATGCTTTATTTGAAATATTTGTTATAATGTGTCTGATCACTCTATTGGTTAAAGTTAGTTTTTGACGGATATTAAAATACGTATTAAATACTTTCAGTAAATTTAATGGAATTTCTAACTCTATACTGAATGATTTCTTTATGAACTTGTCTTCGTTAATAAATCTTGATGATGTAGTAGAAATGGTAAATTACAGTGGCGTATACAAAACTTTAGATAGATTTGGCTACAATATGGATACTCTTATGAAACAGGTTCGATTGAAAATTCTTTTCCAATATCCCACTTTATCATTTTCATAATTTAGTTGGCACCACCTTGCGATAAAATGTTTAAAAAATGCTATTGGAAAACCAAGGAAGTACCGTGTTTGAATCTTTTCAAGGTCGTAAGGACTACTTATGGGTATTGTTGCGGTTTTAATCAAAAAGGTTTTCAAGATGAAGAGGGGGAGTAAGTGGTGTTTTGTTTTATTTTTTACAAAAGGGTTAGTAATTTTTACAACTGTCTTAATCTCATTAGCACGACTGTTTCGTCAAAAGTTCACGAATATGCCATGGGTGCTGGTCCAGCTTTCGGGTTACGTCTTATATTAGATGCAGAAGAAGAAGAATATTTATCCCCTCTTAAATCTGTAATTGGATTTTGTGTAAGATCTTTTAAATGTTTAGTCCCATTACAAAATATGTAAACTAATAGAAAGTTCCTGTTTTTGCGGGTGAATTAATGGATTTAAATTTAAATTGAAAAATTGTTATTTAATACGAATAATCGAAAGCTGTTCTTTACTTTATTTTTAAATCCATTGTTCATCCATAAAACATGAACTTAATAAACGTTCTTTTAAAAGAACGAAAACGAGAAAACCCACAGAACGTTATGGTCACTGAGAAACATTCACATCGCGAAATTCGTATTAAGGAACTTTTAAAAATGGCTATAATGCGTTGTGGCAAACGAAAAAAGACCATATCATCCTATGAAGAAAACCCATATCGTGTTTAGAACGTCAGCTAATTAGAAACCATGATAGAATACAACAAAAAGTGATTTTTAATATGGGTTTAACAAGTCCTGAAATTTTTTAGTATTAATATATTCTTTTGTCTTAAAATAATAATGTTAAAACTGCAAGCACCAGATAGAAAATGTCCTTATAACCCTTTCTTCTGCTAAAATTGAAAACAACTGCACGTATTTGTCATTATCAAATACAATCAAAAGTTTTTGGGTAAGATAAAGATTGCGTTATTAAAATAATAGGATCCTTGTGATTATGACTGAGATTATTCGTTTAGTTATGGTATATGCTCAACTATGGCTCAGAACTTTTCATTGCCATGACACTAATGGCCCCTTTGTGTTTATCACAACGAGTTATGGGCGTTTTTATAAGTTATAACACAAATTTTCGTTCTTTGAGCCCAACGCATATGTATAATAATATAACAAAATATAAGAAACAGTAACAATTGGTAAATTGTAGTAAGTAAGGTTGTACTGTGTTTGCAGGTGGCAGTTTTACCATCTCATTTCTTCCCTCAAATGGAATCTTATGGTAACACACTCCTGCAAGCAGATGAAATGACGATGTATCTAAAACCAACTGTGATAAGTAGCACTCCGGAAGTAAAACGATTGAATTATAAAACAAGAGATTGCTTTCGCGAAAGAGAAGTATGAAATAGACGGTATAAATTAAAAAGCAAAATGGAAAAAAGTTGTTGCGTGTTTTAGGGAAACCTGCGCTGGAATAGCAAATATTCCTTCCAGGTTTGCTTGCTGGAGTGTAAAGCGAGAGCTATCCAGGAGTTGTGCAGTTGTATTCCTTATTTCTTACCGCATGGGGGTGAATAATAATTTTATGTTAATTAAAATTATCAAATATCTACCTAATTATTATTCTTTCATTTCAGCCAACAGTTCCATTTGTACTTACGAAAATATTTTATGCTTGAGACAAAAAGAATGTAAGTAAACTTGAATTCGTAAGAAATAGCACACATTTTTATAAAAAATACGTGAGTGGGTACAGTTAGTAATAGATATTCAATGTTGCAGACATTTGTGGTTTGTGGAGTTAGTAGGGGGAGCAATTTATCGATCTGACAACCCATATGCTGTGGATTGTAAATTGATCCCTCGATACTTCTCATATAAATAACCGTAAATATTTAAAATGTCCCAGGAAAAGAATAATTCTTTTTTATTCCTAATTAATAAATTAAATGATTAAAATAATTAACCACTTTTACAAATATTTTTTTTTTGCTGATGGTTGACTATTTTAACCATTAATTTTTTGGTACGTTAAAGCTTTGAAAAGTATCTGCGGCTAATTTAATATGGCGAACGCTTCAAGATGGCGGATTATTTTTTCTTCATCACCTCCTTGATATTGGTATTAAGTAAAAGAGTTTGCTGAATAAAATACGATTAACCAATTTCAAATTATCCAATGATTATTCAAAAATTAAAAACAGTTTTTTAAATTAAGACAACATGCGTAGATCTCAGTTTGCTATGGAATCATTGCCTTGTTTTATGCAATTTTTTATGAAATAATTTGTTAATTGCTAAAATGACAGACAATTAATGTGTGATCTATCATATAGTATAAATTTATTTCCTTAACATGAATGAATTGTGCTAATTGAAAGCTTTGTATTAATTAGTGCTTTTATTTTAGATAATTATAATAGCTTGGCAGTAATAGCTTCAACTAGANATTGCTTGAGTTAACTTTGTTTTGCATTGTTTATAAACACTAACAATAAGTGAGAGATGATTTACAAAAATACTTTTTTGTTCAGTAAAATCCACTGGGTTTAATGTATCCACTAAAAATTTTGATCAGTCTTGGGCTTACACTAATAAAAACATTTTTAAAGTGTAAATTATTTAAACATCAACTTATAACATGAACAAATCTAATGTTTTTAACTTAAATAATGAAGAAATACATAAACTTAAATGACTAAATAGTCTCTCTACCTTTATAACGAGGTAATGACCTTAATTTCATGTTTAGAACACGCTCCAACTGTTTAGAAGTATCTTGGTCAGGACTTAATACAAGACGTCTTCGTAATTTTGAGCTCATTTCAGACCTTTGTGGTATTTTCTCTGGAGTTCTATCTCTTGATGGCCCCAAAAGATCAGTCTTGTTGTAGTCAATGGGTGACCACATTACTGGTTTACGCCTGCGGCCCCTTTGTACAATTACAAGCTCATCAGGGGAAGGCACAGGTGTTTCTGATGAGTCTAGTATATTAGGGGTAGTAGAAACGACCTGCTCGGGGGGTATTTCGGTAAGAGCAGAACGCCTTGAAGATCTTCGGGGAATATTTTCCTCATTTTCATCCGGAAGATCCATGAGGAATAAGTATATAACCAATATTAACTAAAGGGTTGAAATAGTAACCCTGGTGAAACCTTGAATTTAAAGGGACTTTTAAATTAAACTTACCTTTTAATTGGTATACTTATATGAAATTTTCACAAGCACATTATCTGCGGCAACTGTGGCGGTTGTATTTCCACATATATAACAGAGAAAAATTGTTTTCCCGGGCGCGCAAAAATACTTCCTTTGCATTGTTTTCCCGCGATCATGAACTAATGGATATTTAACGGTTTATATATCGTTGTCTCTTTCTAGTTGACATTATGCAGCTGATCCACAGGTGTTTGTTTTTTATATTCTTTTTCGGTGATATAATTTTGTATGAATTGGAATTGAGAGCTTTTTTTATGGTTAATTCCTTTAAGAGATATAAAAACAAATCCCTTTTTTTGGATTTATGTTTTGTTCTTTTACAGAATTATTTTTGTTTAATATAAAATTCGTTACACCCCTGTTCCACATTTTTGTTCATCCTTAGTTCTTGTGTCAACGAACACGTGAGAAATGAAATGAGAAAATAACCTTACATTTCATACAATTTGTATGCAAAGCAAAATACAACACATTTATTAAGAAATTACAATGGAAATTGAAAATAAGCCTAACGTAAATTTTGTATCTTGCGTTAAATGGGTAAAAAAGGGCATAGCGAAATTTAATCCCGACAAGGTATGTAAATGAACAAATATCTGAAAATTAAGGAGTTTTTTGTTGTAATTTTTTTATAGGTTCAATTAACAAAAGTAGAATTAGCAAGAATGATACAAGAGACCAGAAGGAATTTACGGTAATTAGTTAATGTCTTAGTTAATTTGCTTAATCTTTGTTTTTACACAGAGTTTCAGAAAAACCGGAAGAAGGTAATGAAGGACAACCCTCTACAAACCCTAGTGATGAATTTGGCTTACAAAATTACGATAATGACGAAGGTGTGTTGTAATAAAGCAACCATGAAGTTACTTTATTTGACGTTGTTTGATTTCTAGATGAAGACGAGGAAAATCCTCTTGGTTTAAATTCTTTAGCAGAAGTTCCTGAGGCAGATGAAAATTATTCTGATACTGATGAATCAGAAAAGGAAGATGACTTTATAAAACCAAAAGATAGTTTAATACTGGTTGGACATGTAGAAGGAGATGCTAGTATTTTAGAAGTATATGGTATATCACATTATCATTATCATTCAATTATAGTTTTAATTTTATTGTAAGGCTTGTAGTGTATAATGAGGAGGAAGAATCTTTGTATGTACATCATGATATACTTCTTCCATCTTTTCCATTATGTCTTGAATGGTTGGATAAAGAAACTGGCCATCCTCCAGGAAGTTACTGTGCAGTTGGTAAGGGAATAATATTTTCAATTCATTTGAAATAATAATTTTTTTAAATCTTATTTAATAGGAACAATGGGACCTATTATTCAGGTGTGGGATTTAGATGTTGTAAATTGCTTGGAACCAGCTTATAAACTAGGAAGAAAAGGGAGCAGGAAAAGAGGGACTACAACTGTAGGTCATAAGGATGCAGTTTTAGATCTTTCTTGGAATAAAAATTACGATCACATTCTGGCAAGTGGCTCTGCAGACAAAACAATACATTTATGGGATTTGGATGTAGGTGAACCTGCAACAACATTAAATGCATTTTCTGATAAAGTTCAATGTTTAGAGTGGCATAGACTTGAGGCTCAAACTCTTTTAGCAGGTAATATTAAAACTAATTTCTCCTGAAGGTTCATATTTTTTGTAGAATTTACTATTCCTACATCATTACTTATTCAAATCTAAAACATTAAGTAAAAAAATTATTTTAGTAAACTAACTTTTCATTTATTGTTTTTTCATGAAATATTTTTTTTTTTATTTGTAGATGTACAAATATTATATTCTAATAAATAGGGAAGATTTTAATAGGTTTCATGTAAAACATTACATTTTTTAAAGGGAGTGCTGATCAAACAGTTAAGATATTTGACTGTCGTAATCCTGAAACAAATCAATCCTGGCAAGTAGATGGTGAAGTTGAAAGAGTTTGTTGGAATCCTCTGCAGCCGTTTTCTTTTTTTGCATCAACCAGTGTAGGGAAGGTGCAATATTTTGATTGCAGAAAAGGTATTTCTAAAAAAATATAGTTTTTTTCTTTTTATTTTACCTTTTTGATAATGTAACAGGACAGATTTGGAGTATAGAAGCACATGAAAAGGAAGTCACAGGCTTAACAATAAGTGCACAGTGTCCTGGATTATTAATAACTGCTTCTGCTGATGGCTCCCTAAAGGTGTGGGATATGAATGAAGAATCTGAACCAGTTATGGCGGTCAATAAAGAATTCGATTTGGGTGTTGTGCACTGTGTTGAACTTTGCCCCGATTTACCTTTTGTTATTGCTGCTGGTGGAGATAACAAAAGTAAAAATTTCTTAGTTTATGATTTACGAAATGTTGACCCAGGTAAGAATTAAAAGCAATTAATTTAGATACACCTGCCTGGTTTGAAATGAATCATTTAAAGCACTTTTTCACTTCCTCTACTTTTTATCTCTTAATCTGGAAATTTGAAATCTTGTAAGCAACTCCAACAATAAATCACTAGAAAGAAAAATATATTACTACCACAGATAGGTAAAAAAGTACGTAGCAAAGGTAGTTTTATTAAAGCTATTCAACTTTTCAGTAATCTACCAAATGGCCTCAAGACACTTAGTTGTCCTATTTCTTTAATTCAAATTAAAAAAACGGTTAATTACTGAAAATATTACTTAAAAAATAAAAAAA